CGAACTTACGGTCAGCTCGAAAAATGCCGCGCCGCACCGCACCGCACGCTCTGTGGTGATTGACCATAATTTTGCGAAAATAATTACAAATTGAACATCAATTTTACCGACAACAGTCTCCGTTTCGGTTTTTTCCCGCCAATATTACTTCCAGGAGTCCTGGAACTCCTTGGGTTCCAATATGTGCGTGCCAACATACGTTATTGAAAAAGCCACGCATGCGCGAGAAAACCCGGCTCGTATCCCAACACTGAGCGGAAATATTGACAGCCCGTACCATAGTTAATGGAAATGGAGGTATAGGGAAAAGCGTGTAAAAGAAAAAATGTGTGTGTGACATTCAGCGGGCCCGGTCTGTTGTGCTCGAGTCAGACCCTGCTGGGCGGAGAGCGTTAAGCCTCGGCAAATAAAGCAAGATTGGAAACGAAACCGCGGAGAGCGTGAAAGAGACCAAGCAAAGCGGTAAATCTCGAGATTGGCAAACCTCGGGAGCAGAAAACCTCGAAATTAGCGAACCTCGGAAGCGAAAAACCTCGAGATCAGCGAGCCTTGGCAGCGGAAAACCTCGAGATCTTAACGATCTTCTCGTAGGCGTTTTTTCATTTACCTTAGTAGGACTTCTATTATGCGAGATACGTAGCTACACTTATAGCATTTCCCCAGAGCATCTCTTCATCTTGATTTATTATTGTCTTTACTTGTTCAATTAATGTTCAGTTCAGTCCTTCGGCTTTACCATTTAATTGAAGCATGTAGGGTGGCGTATAATTCATTGATATTCCTGTACACCATAGTTTCAATTTATTATTCCGTATACCGTAGTTTCAATTTATTACTTAGTATTATATGTATATTCTTTACCATTATCACGTTTAATTTCTTTGCTTTTCTTTTCCGTTTTACCTCAGCTAGCACTACAAATTCTTTTACTTTTGCCGAAACATCATCTTTCGATTCCTTCAAGTGTTACAATATTTATACAGTGTCCCAGAACTAAAACTACGCCCGAAAATGGGAAGGAGCTAAGGTGATTTTAGACAATATTTTCCTTTGTAAAAGAAAATTGTCCGAGGCGTGGTTATCGAGTTACCGAAAATTCCAAACCAATCTATTTGATTCTTATTATAATTGATTCTACTTTACCTACTGTGTGATTTATAAAGTTGTTAGTTATTTCATTGAATATATTGCATCTATTCAGTGAACATAACGACTAATTGCTTTCTTTTCATCAGGTTTCTGACATTAGGTTCTCCTTAAATTTGGCATGTACAGCACATTTTTTAATACACAATTTTTCATTTCAACTGTCCCTATCTGTTTTGCCATCATCATTCCTTTCTGATTCGCCATACTGATTTCTGTATTTAGTCCTCTACTATCTTTCAAATTCTTTGCACCATTACTCATGTGTGATGTCGAGACTGAATCCACTATCCATTCCTCAGTGGCCACATGCGTTATGAGAGCTATTTTAGAATTTTTTTCTTTTTTAAATTTTCCTTTTTGGTTTCTAAAAGTTTTTTCTGAATGATTAGTTTTCTTACAAGTCTTACAACACTCAAGTTCTGTTTTACGATCTTTTGCCATGAGACCTATTTTATGGCAATTAAAGCATTTATATAATTTCCTCTTCTGTTATCCATATTCTTAGATGTGTGTGCTAAATGTCTTGTCTTATCGCATTTTCGATATTCCTTTTCCTCTGCCTTAAGTGCTATCGCTTCTTCATTATCCCTCAAAATTTCCAGCTCCTTCAATTAAGAGCTTTGCTAGCAGGTTAGTCAGTGTTCTCTCAACTGTGGGCAACGATTCCCATGCACTTATAAAATAGCGGCAATTCTCTGGTAACGCTGTTAAAACTTTTGATATCGTCTCATTAATCTCCTCACCTAGGCCCTTGAGTTTGAGAGATATATTCTTTATATCTAATATAAAGGTAGCTATATCAGTCTCGTCTTTTTTTTCGTATGAGAAAAATTCTTACGCCAGATTGTATTTTTGCTGCTGTGGGTGTCTTTCATAAATACTTTTCAATCTTTGCGACATATCATGCGCATTTTTACATGTAACTATACTTATTAAGGATTGTTTCTCAAATAGTATCCATTGTTCTTCTCACCTTCGCAGCTTTACTTTTCCACTCTGGAGTTTGCATAATTCCTTCCGTTTGCTTAATTTCCACGACGGTTATACTTGGTTAACTTTTAATTCCTTAATGCTTTCAACGAAATTACATTACTTGTTGCAGCGCACATTTTTACAGTATTCTTATACTTTTTATTTCTTTACTTATTTTTACTTTCTGACTTGTTCCTCTTTATGCCCATTTTCTCACTACACGTGCCTTCTGGGCCCTTAACCTATTGAACAGCTGGTCGCATAGAAACAATTTTTAGACTTCTCTTAGTTTTATGGAGTTCTGTTTATTACTCCTCCTTCACTTGTACACAATATAGTATCGATACGAATCAGAATAAAGTATGAAAATCATGTATTGTATTAACGAGGAAATATATTGAACTTTCGCCTAGTTGAATTTTTACCGGAAGTACGAACAAACAGTCCGCGTGCTGATCCGGTTATGAGCACTATCTAACCACTTAATTCAAATTAAGATTGCCTTATTCTAACAAGAATAAAATAAATAATCCTCAACATGTTGTTTAATGTTTCAGGTGACTTGAAATAACGAGTGACAATCTGGTACATACGCTTTTATTGCTTTACACTAAGGCAAGTGTCTCCATTTCATTTCACATCCCAATTTCTACTGCCTATTTTTCTATAATTCTAATTTTCGCTATTTACGTATTGACAGATCTGAAGAAAATGTCGGATAAAAAAAGATTGTACAGAGAAATGATGTCCGTTGTGGAAGAGGGGAATCTGAATAGATTAAAAGAATTAATTAATACCCTTCAACCATCCAATTCCCCAAGTTGGGTTGAAGTGTACCGTTTGATAAGATGTGCTGTTGAGAATAACCATCCAGAGAGTGCTGACCTGCTTTTAACAGACATTGTCAAATATGATAATCAGAAAGTAGTACCTAATGAACAACTACTTCACTATGCTGCTAGCAGAGATGACATAGAAATGATTAAACTGCTTATAACCAAAGGCATTTCTGTGGATGTTACGAACGAATTTGGTTGGACGCCCCTTCAATGTGCAGTCATGAATAACCATCTAGAAGGCGTTCAGTTACTTTTGTCCTACGGAGCTAACGTCGATGCTAAAGATAACGATGGTCATACTGCGATTCATCATTCAATTATGGAAGGTAACCAAAACATTGCCAAATTACTTCTACAACACAAGACTAATATTTCACTGGGCAAAAATGACAAGAACACGCTGCAGCTTGCTATTGACGACCAATATTCCATTGCTATCGATAAGACATTGCAAACAGTATATTTTTGTTTCAAGAATAAAAAGAATGGTCTTAGAGACGCTGTATGTGGACGCGGTAGGAAATGTGAATTCATCGTTAAATCTTTTTTGACATATGGTATTGTACTTAGTCCAGAGGATGTAAATGATAGCGAATTAGTATGCGCTTCTGTGGAGAAGGGACACATCAAGATTGTCAAGAAGTTATTGGAACTTGGTGCCGATGTTAATCAGTTACACGAGAATGCAATTTTTAATAAAAGTACTACATTGTTACACATGGCAGTAATAACGAAACAGAGGGAGATGGTAGAACTATTAATAAACTATAAAGCTAATGTAAATGCTCTAGATGAAAGAAATTTTACTGCGATGCATGAGGCTGCTCTAAATGACGATTTAGAAATAATGGAACTACTTATGGATAACGGTGCCAGGATAAAAGATCAGTACAAATTATTGTGTATTGCTGCTGAAACGGCTTCTAAGAAATTTGTTGAGCTGCTTTTGCAGCACGATATCAATGTTAATGGAAAAAATACAGATGGTACCACGGCCATACATTCATGTGTTCTCCGTCATCCCATTAATTATGAAATCCTTAAGCTTTTGATCGACAAAGGAGCTGATATTAATGCAAGAAATAATTATCGTAGAACGGCGCTTCACGAAGCCGTCCGAGCCAAAAACGTAAAAGTCGTCAAGCTTCTGTTGAACTGTAACGCGGATGTTAACAGCGAAGATGTAGACGGTACGACACCGCTTTTTGACTCTACGGTACGCGGAGCAGTGGAAATTTGTGAACTACTCGTGAAGAAAGGTGCAAAACTGAATATCAAGAGATATAAAAGACCAACACCGCTT